TTTTACCCTGGACAGGTGTATCAACACTTTTACCCTGGACAGGTGAATCCCCACTTTTACCCTGGTCAGGTGAATGCACACTTTTACCGGTGTGAGATCGATAGAATCCAAAGGGGTGAGATTGGGGTGATCACCTGCTCGACCACGTGAGTTTTCTCCGGGTACTCCGGTTTCCCCCTCACACTAAGACCCCCAAGCTAACATCAGTGTCAACAAGAGTGATTAATATTAGTTGAAATAACTTGGTTTCATTATCGTTGTAAATTAAATAAGGTTTGTGTTTTATATATTCTCTTGTTGTATAACAGATGATGGAGTTCTACGAGAGAGTGTCTGGAGCGAGAATGCATGCAGCCTATGTCAGACCAGGAGGCGTGTCTCAGGTAGGTCCTATTAATCATTAAGCATTTTAATTTGATGAACTGACTGTTTACTTTACAACAATGAGACTGAAGTCTTTATCACATTTAATGAGTTGGCCTATATGAATACCTGTAGGTGAAATATCTACATTTGAAAAAAAATCAATGTTTTACGTTCAGGAAGAAATATTTCTTTAAATATCCTCTTTAATAACAAGTATTGCCTATTTCATAGTTTAGGAAAAGATTTGACATATACAACTGTATGTTAGAAATTTGATTGTTAATTATAAACAAAAAATAAGGTTGAAAATTTCATTTTAGAAATTAGAACAATCCTGCTGGCAAGTCCATCTACTCAATGTTAATTTTTTCTTGATTAATTAATTACATACCAAATATTGGATATAAAGAAATGTTTTTCATAAAAAGTTCCATTGATATATATTAACTTAAACAGGATTTACCCCTTGGACTTTTGGACGATATATACGACTTTATCGAAAAGTTCAACCAGAGACTGGACGAGGTGGAGGAACTCCTCACACAAAACAGAATTTGGAAACAGAGGACGGTAGATGTCGGAATAGTTTCTTCTGAGGATGCCCTAAACTTTGGGTTCAGGTATAGTCTGATGATGTGAAGAAATATATCTGATCATGCAGTGATCAGCCCATACCTGGTAATACGTACGTCAACTCGTATCTATTGCAGTTCTGTAGAAATGCGAACGGAAGCTACCATATTCACTGTAGCGCCCCCTCCCTGTAAGCGCCCAGGGTTTGTCACTAACGATGGACCTGTAGACTAGTCTACAGAAAAGTATGAAGGTCTACTCAATCTAGTGTGTGTGGTAGACCGAGGTCCAGCTAAAGTTATGACTGAAATTTTAGTAAATTACCAATAAAATATAATGCAATAAATGTAATGACCTGCTTGAGCTCTGTAACGCTTGCTAAACATCATACACATTAAACTCCATTTTCGATTTTTGTTGTGGAACCTTAACAATGCTTCAGTCAGTGGTAATCGTACTCATCGTCAAGCCATATCGTGGGTTTTTGATCTAGGGGTGTATATTACCAACACTACAAAAAAAACTACCTAAGCGTTGGAAACTATTTTTTCTGACATTCAATGATAAATCATTTCAGAAAAGAAAACAAATGAACGTCTCTCTATAATTCTTGTATCCTTCACTAGTTGGGTTTTAAATGTCTGTTGAGTGTAAAAAATCTTGTATCCTTCCAGTGGTATGCTGTCAAATAATCCTACAACTTTTGTATTTCCTCTAGCGGTGTGATGTTGCGTGGCTCGGGTATCAAGTGGGATTTGAGGAAGACACAGCCGTACGATGCCTATCATCTGGTCGACTTTGACATTCCCATCGGTACGACTGGTGATTGTTATGACAGGTAGGTCTCGAGGGAAACATGTCATTTAAATATATTTATGTTTCCACTGCAAGTTCTTCCATAAGCATAACATTAAGACATTTCATTCATATGAATGCAATTGGATCAGCATCATTTTGAAGTTCCTACTCAATCCTTGATTAACATAAGACAATCGTTAAAAGCAAACATTTTGGTGATGTTAGGCTG